CACCCCGTCTGACCCCATCTGTGTGTGTCTGATCTGACGGATAGGTATGACCCTGATTATGAGGAGGGGGCAGTGGAGGCGACCGAGGAGGACGATGCCGAGGTCGCCGAGGGGGAGGGGGAGGAACGCCGGCTAGATGAAGACAACGGCGAGAACGGCGAGGAAGAGGGTGAGAATGGCGAGGAGGAGGAGGAGGATAATGGCAATGGGGATGAGGAGGCCGTGGCCGAGGAGGATGCAGAGGAGGAGGAGGAGACCGACGACGACACTGCCGCACTGCCCAAAAACCGCACTAGAATCCGCCGAAAGGTTCTCACAACACAACACAGTGTCTCTGCATTCTCTCTCTCGGTGTGTGTGTGTATGTGTGTGTGCAGGTGATCGTCCGCAAGGGCAAGGGCAAGGGCAAAGGAAAGGGCAAGGGCAAGGGCGGCAAGGGCGGCAGGGGCCGTTACCGCGGCAAGGGCAAGATGGAGGACCCCGAGGCCCCCGCCCGCGCCCTCAAGGATGCCGGGGAGGAGCTCATCATCCCCTGAACCACACACACACACACACACACACGAGGGGGCCGGTAGACAGACCTACTTCGCTTCTTCTACTATAACTAGGTAGCTCTTGCGACTAACCAACCAACCACACATATCGCTGCTCTTTTCTGATGTTTTCGAAGCACTCCATCGGTGCGTTGCCTTTTCACATGATGCAGTCAGTTTTTCCCCACACCCACACCCACCATCCACCCCATGGTCCGTGCACTCGCTGTACAGAACGGTCGGCCAGGCCAGGCCACGCCGATAGGGTGTGGTGTGTGCTATATGCGTGTGTGTGAATGGTGAATGTGTGTGTGTGTGGATGGACCACCCCACCCATTTCCGCCTCTCTCGCTTATTTCTTGAAGGCCACATCCACCATCCCTCCAGAGCTTAGGAATGAGCATGGTCCACACTCTCATCCACACACACACGCGCACCCTCTCACACATGGAGTCAGTCGATAAAGTCCGTTCTCACAGACACGACCAACGCCCCTCCCTCCATCAGTCCCTCCCTCCATCGCTCAGTCAGTCCGTGTCCTCGAGGTCCGACAGGTCCCCGCCCTGCTCCTCCTGCGGCAGTGAGGCCGTGCCCGACTGCACCCAACACATCTCGCGACACGCATGAGCACGCAGCAGCTCGTCATAACCTGCAAGACAGACCACCAAAGAGACACACTTAATTAAACGGCTGGCAGTCAGTTGTCTGTGCACTGCACTGCACTGCACTGACCATCGAGAGCAACGCGACGCAGGAGCTTCTCATCCTGACCGTGACACACAGCACAGAGGGAGGGAGGAGGGGGTGGTGCACACGAGAGAGACAGCTGGGGCGTGTGTGTGTGGAGTGGACGGATAATGGGTACTGTAATTACCTCTCCCAGTGCCTCGATCAGCCGCAGAGTGCGAGCCAGCGTCTGCACACACCACACACATAGCACACCACACACAGGTGCGGTGGATGGATGAATGGATGTGTGTGTGTGTGTGACTAACACGTACTGCACTCACCCTGCTCGAGTTGGCGACCCTGTGGAGCGGGAAGAGCTGCTCCCAGAACTGGAGGGCCAGGTGGGGATGCTTGCACCGAAACACGCGACGCACCTGAGGGCACACACACACACACAAATTCAGTCTGTTGGGCTGTGGGGTTAAGGAGGGTGAATGACCTGACTCACCTCTTTGAAGAAGAGTTTGACGTATGGCGCGAGCAGGTGCCGCTGGCACGGGTGCCGTTGGTGGAAGGAGGCCATTGACGCGCTGATGTCGTGCAGATTCAACGTGCTGATCTGCAAGTAGCGCGTCCACAACTGTCAGCACAGCACAAACACCGGTGGCACACAAGAGAGAGACAACGGTTGCCCACCCTCCACCCCATCCCAACACACCCTCCCTCCCACCGCCGCACCTACCTGGTTCTTTTGTTTGGCGTCAGGAATGGCCGCATAGCACTTGGCGTGTCCAATAGCCCCGGTGGGTGTGGTGGGGGGGTCCCTCTCCCCCTCCCGCCTCAGCCGCTCCTCCCTCTCCCTCACCAAAGGCCCGCCGTCTTCCAGGCTGCTCTCGCTGCCCTCATCCGCCTCGGTAGTGAGGGCGCAGAAGTGCTCCAGCACCTTCCACCGTAGAGCCTGGTCTAGGTGCAGCTGAGGGTGTGGGTGGTTGTGGCTGTGGCTGTGGCTGTGTGTGGTCTCGGGTGCTGCTGGTGGTTGTGCTGCTTGTGTCGATGCTGCCGCTGGTGGCGGTTGTGCCACCGGTTGTGGTGGCTGTAGGTGTGTGGTGGTGCTTGGGGGTGTGTCTGAGTCCATAAGTGCGAGGAGGGGCCGGAGGTGGGCCAGGTCGTAGGACGTATGGCACCACAGACGCAGCCAGAAGTCGATGAACGTCTGCACACACCCATCCCATAAGACACAGCTATACGTCGCCGCGAAAGAGATCCTTCCATGTCAATGAATCAGTGTGGTGTGCAGGTCAGGTGACCTGGTTCTGTTGCTGCTGCTGTGCCTTCTCGGTAAGCTCGCGCGTGGCGTCAGACAGTCGCCCCGCCACCTCCATAAAGAAGGGCTCTGACACACAAACCCACACCACACACACACAGAGGGATCCATCCATCCATCCACCCACATGTGACGGCCCGTATCTGTGCGTTGGGTGGTGGGTGGTAGGGCTGACGTGAGGTACCAGGGATGAAGTAGTGCAGTGCGGCCAGCACGTTTGAGGCCAGTCCTTCGAGGAGGCACAGATTGGGCTCCACACCCCAGTTCGCCAGCACCTACACACACACACACGTGTCACAGGTCACAGGTCGACGGCAATGGCTGCTGTGGTTGTGAGCGGCTGCGCGCTTACGAGCTCGAGGAATCTGAGCGAGGAGAGCTGTCTATCGCGGACCATCTCCCACAGAGACCGCCATATCAGCTGGCGGCTCAACACAGACTTATTCGATCACACAACACACCACACACGCGGGCAGATGAGATGAGATGGCACACACACATGACCGCCCCCCCTGACACACCTGGATGTGTTGCAGCCGCTCGGACACGAACTCGAGCGTCTGCTCGTCAAGCAGCCCCTTCACGTAGGCATAATCACCTGCATGGCCGACAGACACACACAGATGGTGGGGGGCTATGCTAAGGTATGGTATGGGGTGGATGAAGGGGGGGCGGGGCATAGCGACCGGCGTTGCAGAGGACGCCGAGTGGTGGGGGCAGGCCGACCACTGAAGGGACATTCGTCAGCTCGTCCTGCAGACAGCCACACCACACAACATGTTTACCACACCACACAGGCGTGCACACAAGCGAAGCGTCCTACAAACAGTTCCCTCCCTCTCCTATGGCTGCGTACCGTGACGTCCACCCACACGCCGTAGGCATCAACCTTGCCCGCCTCTGACACACACACAAAAACACACACACACAGACAGAGAGAGAGAGAGAGAGCATACAGCCCTTAAGCTTATCATGGCCGTCCGTCGTTTCCCAATGGCCACCCAATTCACTTCACCTGTTTCTGAGGGGTAGAAGAGATCCACCCTGCGCAGAAGAACAAACACACCGCACCGCATAGTGTGGTGTGTGGGGCTGGGGTGGGGTGATGGGTGTGTGTAAGGGTGTGGTGTGTGGTGTGGTGTGGGGGTCGATAGCGTAATTACCGTAGTCTGTGTGGTCTCATGGTTGGCTGCTTGACCGGTGCCGTCTGCTGCAGCTGCAGCAACGACAACACTCGACTGCACCACACCAGACAGAGAACACCGCACACAAACGCCTTTGCCGTTCTGTTCTGTGCGTGTGTGTGTGTGTGTGTGGTCCTTTCTCTCTCTGACATACGTGTCGCGGCCGTCCATCTCGCTCGCAGCAGGGCCACACACCCATCTCTGCAGACAGACACAAACCACACACACACACACACATCCATCCATCCATGCATCTCCCCTGGCTGCCCACACCAACACCCGTACTTACCGGTCTGATAGTGTTGATGCCAGGCTTGCCCAGCCACACCTTCATCCAGGTGCTCTGCGCCCGCAGTACCTCGTGGTGACACCGACCGTAAGACAGATCTCCAACACCGCTTCCACCCGACACAGACGGTGCTGCGGGTGCTCCTGGTGCTCCTGCTGGTGGTGGTTGTGATGCGCCATCAGCTGCCGCGGCTGCTGTGGCTGTGGCTGTGGCTGCTGCTGCTGCTGCTGGGTGGAGGGAGGGCTCGGGTGTGGTCGACATCCGCACGCAGCCCTCTTGCAGCACTGATGGATGGATGGATGGTCGCAGACAGACACAGAGGAGAGAGACACAGGGTGGGGTGTGGGGTGTGGGGGGTGTTGGTGGGATGGCGTGCCTTGGAAGAACTGTTTGATGGTGACGCTTTGGAAGCGAAAACGGGCGAAGAAGAGAGCCAGGCCCTGACACACACACACACACACCCACACACAGAGAGGGAGGGAGAGGGAAGCAGTATTCCATCCCGTGGCCGTCTTGTCAGTCAGTGGACGGGTGTATTGTCTGTCTATCCAGGAAGGGCATACAAGTCGAAACGGCTCTTGGCCCAGCAGACACACCTGACCAGCATGACACAACAGAGCGTCTGTCTGTCTGTCTGTGTGTGTCTGTGTGTCTGTGTCTGTCTGTCTGTCTGTCTGTCGCCTCTCTCTCTCTGTTGGTGTGTTGTGCTTTGTTAGCTTCCCCCCTCCCTCCCTCCCTCCCTCTCTGTGTAGCTCAGCTCACGAGTTGTTTGAAGACTGCCGCGCCCTTGCCCCTGGAGATGGCCGGCTCCCTCAGCAGGTCGTGGGTGTCCCTCACCATGCTGTATAGAGCATGAGCTGTCACCTACACACACATACACGCAACACACCACACACACACACACACCCCAATCCAATCCAATCCAATCCGTCGCATGATGGATCACTGCCCACCCCCTCTCACCTTCTGGTCCTGTGAATATGCCCATGCCTTCAGGTCCCGATGAAACACGACCCACGACAGAGTGGCCTCCGTCTCAACACACTCACCACCACCACCACCAGCACCAGCACCACTCGCAGCAGCAGCCTTGGGCGTCTGCGACTCCCCCCCTCCCCCTCCCCCTCCCACATGAGGGCGCCACCCCGAGCTCTCGCCCCTATCGGCGTGCGGCTCCAGCAGTGCGGAGCAGCCGCCGTGGTGCGGCCTGGCCGCGCCAGATGGGGAGGGCAGGGTGCGTGGTGTGGGGTTGCTGAAGGTCCATGTGCTGCACATGGACGGCACGCGCTTGACCTCGTTGAGGGCGTAGGCAGAGGGCGGGGGCAGGGAGGAGGGCGGGAGCGAGGCTGGCGCTGCCGCTAGGCTGGTCGGGGGGGAGTGGGCGAAGGGCTGCTGCTGCGGTGAGGCGGAGAGGATGCTCTTGACGCCCAGAGCTGTACGCTCCATCTGTTGTGCCGCCACGCCACGCCATGTGTGTGTGTGTGTTGGGAGTGTGGTGCAGGTGGGGAGGGAGGGAGGGAGGGGAGGGTCGGTTAGTTACCTTAGGGTCGCTGAGTGCGAGTGCGGCGGCGTAGGAGCTGAAGGCCTCGGGCAGCCACTCCTCGCTCCACCATGACACAGACACCATTCCACCCAACCACACCCACACACTGACACCCCCACATACAGACACACACACACACACACACAGTCTCTATCTCTCTCTCTCTCCGTCGCGTGTTTACATGTTTTCGAGTATGACCCTTGCCCTGAACAGTTTGGCCTCCTCGACTGATGACGCCTCGGGAGTGGGCGCACCAAGCATGAGCGACTCCACCAACATGGTCGCACCTGCACGAGCTGCAAGGGGAAGAACAGACAGACAGACAGACAGTGGGGTGTGTGTGATGGGGTGTGTGTGTGTGTGGTTACTTACGGCTGCATGTCCCTCCTGTTGCCATGAGGGCCTCCTGCGGGACAAACACCTGGTCATACCTGAGAGGGCACACAAGCGGTGTGTAAGCGAGAGACGGAGGGCTGTGTGTCTGTGTGTGTGTGTGTCTGTGTGTGTCTGTGTGTGTGTCTGTGTGTGTGCAGCAGCTCGCTCACACACTCACTTCTGGAAGGGGTATGGCGTGTCGAAGTACTGCTCGAAGAAACGCAGGCCACGGGATATCAGCTCAAACAAATCCTGCACACACACACACGCACACACACACACACATAAAAGCAGATGTGAGCCCGCCTGTGTGTTGGTGTGTGTTGGTGTGTGTTGGTGTGTGTTGGTGTGTGTGGGTCAGTCAGTGAGGGGGAGGGGAGGGGAGCTGACGGACGGCATGGTCGAGGTATCTGAGCTGCGATTGGCGGCAGTACAGAGCGACGGGGAGACCTCCCTCTAAGTGCGTCGATGCCATCCACACACACAGCACAGCAGCCACACATCCATCCATTCCGGCTGTCTCTCTCTCTCTCTGTGAGGAGCAGCAGCAGCAGCAGCAACCGAACCCACCGGTCTTGTTGACCACCTTGAGGAAGGGCCCGACGGCAAAGACAAACCCACTCAGACTATCATAATGACACACACACACACACAGCACAACAGATCAGCAGATCACATAGAGCTGTGTGTCTTGAAGATCTTCATAGAGCTATGTGTGTCTTGTCTCATCTGACACCACACCACACCTGATCGGTGGGGTCGCACCGAACCGCCACAGCTTGCACCCGCTCCTACACACACACACCAACAAAGCCCAGCCCACAGACACTCTTCCACCACACCCACCCCTTCGCCACCCCACCCCTCCGCCTTCCCGGGAGCTTACTTAGGCACGTCATCGAATATGGTGGGGCACCGCTGCGTCTCGCCCTCCATCTCATCAGCCAGCAGGTCGCCCGACATGGACCGCACCAGGCCCGACACACCCCCACTCGCACTCGTGTGTGCGTATGCCCTGGCCCCTCTGCTGCTGCGGGATGCCGGGGCGCTCATCCGTTCGCGCCGGGCGGTCTGGAGGGCGTCGGCTGAGACCTCCAGGGGCGGCACTGAGAGAGTGAGAGAGAGAGAGTCAGAGATGGAGATGGACAGAGGAAAAGTGTGTGTGTGTGTGGGGAGGGGGAAGTCGGCGGAGGGGAGGTTACTGTTGGTGATAACTGTCCACTGAGATGGTGCGATGACAGAGAGGCGAAGCTGTGCCTGAAGGGCGGCCAGACAGACAGACATCGACGGACCGCCCCGCCCACCGATCTATCTATAACCCACGCACCCTGAGGTCAGGCTGGTCGAAGCACGGAAAGATGCGGTGGGTCTCAAACACGCCGGGGTTGGCACAGTAGTACTCAAACACTTGCTGATCAATTCCACACACATCCATCCATCCATCCACACACAGAGAGAGAGAGAGAGAGGGAGAGAGGGAGGGACGGTGAGACGCACCTGCTCGCTTTCTTCGATGATCTGGTGCAGCCCGGCGCCGGTGCGATCATAGTCACTCGCAAACACCACCACCACCTGATATATCGGTCAGATAGATTTGACACACAGACACACACACACACACACATATACACATCCGCCTGTGTCAGCCATCCATCCATCCATCCGTTGGCTGATCAAGAGGGTGGGTGCGGTCTATCACCTCGTTGTGTTCCTTGAGCAGGGAGCCCGATATCTGCAGCCGATGGGCCGCCCACACGGCGTGGCCACTCTCCACCAGCTTAACGTCGCCAATGCCTATCACACACACACACACAGACGCAGACGCGCGCGCACGTGTGTGTGTGTGTGTGTGTGTGTGTGTCCGGGGGTTCTCTCCGCATTCACTCGCTGGCTGACCAGAGGGTATGGCCACGCCATCGCTGCCGATCAGCCGCCCATTGACACAAAGGCACGTGATCGCACCGCCCGAGAAATCCAGAAATATGCCTAGGCACCAGGCAGGAAGACACGCAAGTCATCCATCATGATGGATATCCACTCATTCATTTCACTGCCCTGCCCTGCCCTACCTTGTGTGGGGCATCGGTGTGTGAAGGAGATGTTGGCCTCGCCGGCGTATCGGCAGCCCTCCTTCATCCACAAGACAATGTCATACGCAACCTCCTGCACAACCAGGGTTCGGAATGACGCCTCCTTCTGCACACACACCACACACACACGCGCACATCCACACAAACACAGTCACACTCACACTCTCACCAGCGGCCGAATTGCTCTCTCTCTCTCTCTCTCTGTGCGTGTGTGTCTGTCTGTTTGTCTGCCCCTCCCTCTGTGTTGTGGTTGCCACGGCACCGACCTGTCTGAGTGCGTCCTCGGCGTCCACCTCAGGGTCCACCCTCGTTGACAAGACCGGCGCACGCACCCGCCGCAGGAACTGCTGCACCGACTTGTACACACGCCGCATTGCATACAGACCCACGCCCACCGCTGATCGACACACAACACAGGCACACACACACACAGACATGGAGAGAGAATGAGTGATCGAGGCGAGAGGGCAAGCAAACAAAAGCAAAAGCACGGCTGTTTGCACCTCACCGGTTCCCGCGGCCACGAGTGTCCTGAACACCCCGCTGCCCGGCAGGGGCATCCGCCCGACATCCGGATTGGGAGGAATCATCGCAGACCAAACGACGCTAGCTTAGCTTGCAGACTTTGAGCAATCGGTCCTTCTGCTCATCCACAGTGCCTTTTCTGCTCATCTGGTGCGCTTCCCGGCGAGAACGAACCGACTTTCTCGAAGCGCGCAATCGTCGGGCGTGTCAGAAGTGCAAGTCGGTCCAGGGTTTAGGGTCTAGGGTTCATAGACCGACGATCCACTGATCTGTGAGACAGGACGGCTGTTGAGTCTTTGTCCGTTCCATGAGACAGGCCATGGCGGACAGGACGTCAGACAGGATGGACTGACGCATACTACATGTCCTACGTGGACTCTCCACAAAATCCACAGACCTTACGTTGCATTGACTTAATCCTTTATCCGGGACTGACCGCCCGGCAGATCCTCTCTTCACCATTCTCCCCGACTCTCTCCCACCTATTCTTACATGGGCGCAGCAGTCTGGTTTGTCTTTTCCGCCTGATCGGCAGTTGGGCAGATCCTAACAGGTCTGTCTATCATCCGCCTGTCGGCAGTCTGTCTGTGCAGCAGCCTGTCAGCAGCCT